TTTACAATAGGGTTCATTCGCTCGGTCAGCAGGTGGCAGTATCCTCGTACACTGGGGAGTAAACTGCCATTAAACGAACAGAAGAAGAAGAAATCCCCTGCACATGCGCAGTACGGATCAGGGAGTCCTGATCCATAACTATCTTTTTATTTTTTTGTTTTTGTCTACATTATATTAAATGTTTCATTATCGGAAACATTTTAAGAGATACTTGTTATTCTTAACATCTTAACAGATACTCTGACCCGTAACTATCGTAAAATGCTTCGACCAGAAGTAGACACCTTTCGCACATGCGGGGTACCGATCGGGTTTCCAGTACGGATCGGGTAGTGACAGCCTCATTTCTGAAATTGAGGTTCAGAAGACATAACAGTAATTCTCCTGTTTATTAACATATTGTTCACCAAACGCAAATATCTTGAATAAACATTAAAGAAACATCAGAAAATCTTGACAGATCATCAGATGACGGATATTATTTCACCATCGTCATTCACGTAATGATTAAAATTTCATAATTTCTTTTTTAGCTTTGAAGATGTACCAAGTCTGCCAAAATAACCGAGGTAAGACCATAGTGATGTCTTTGGAGTTGTTACGATTGAAAACATGAGGAAAAATTATAAGCAGAAGAAGTCTGAGTTATGGACTAACAGTGTAGAGTTTGAAAGCTGTAAGCATTTACCTGACAGGAAGGGTTGAGAAGCTGTTGAGGTGCATTATGGAAAATCTGCTTTCAGAGCTGGTCCATTACTAATGACTACCTCAGCCTCTTCTGCTTACATTTTGATATTTCTCTTTTGTATATCCTTCAAACTAATGGAAGTGCGACACGACATAATCGGCGTCCCCTTTTTCTATTCAAGTTCATCCATGAAAGTATAGCAGTGTAATTTTCGCACAAGTTTTCACCACCTGTCAGGACCCTGCAAGTTTGATGAAAATGTGTGCATGTGTAATACACACCCTCTGTTCTCAATTCACTGACACCCAGTGTGTGCAAGTAAGTGTGTGCAAAAGTATGCACAAACGTGTGGGTGGTGGCTTCTGTTAGTCAATGTATGTGCCTACTTTGAAGGAACATGTTTGTGCAAAAAATCAGAAAGTTTGCACTTACCATGAAGAGCATGCGGAAGTTGGCCAGTTCTCCGAAGAATTCTTCCACACTGACCGAGTGGGGGTCAAAGGCAAAATAACTGCCTATACTTTCATACAGCTTCTGCATGTTCTTGTGCATGGTGGACAATTTTTCATACTGCTCCCTGGAACTCTTGCTGAAGCCGTGAGAAGCAGAGAGTCAAGGAAAAAAGGGAGAAAGACATGTCTCAAACATACACAAAGCATATTCAAAAAGCTATTGTAATAATCTCCAGTATAATCTCACATCTCACAAGCGTGTTGATCTCTAGAAAAACAAGTCATTGTGAAAAATGATCACTTTCACAAGCTTTATAGCGTTCAAAAAGCCCACCTATGCCAAGGTCAGCAAAACAAAATACTAGATAAAGAAGGGTCAGAGACAATCTAATGTGGCATTACAATAACCTCTCCATCTCACTTTGGAGTCAATGGCATGGTGAGCTAATAGCTGCAGCCCTGGAGTAATGGAAAGGTGTTTTGTAGTCAGCAGCATGACACAGATGGTTGCTGGAAAAGCTGATTGCAGTCATTGTTCTATTGTTTCTCACAACAACAGTGGGGTCAGGTTGTTTTGAACCTCACAGCTCACGTCGCACTGTGTAATTTACTGAACAGGCGGAGCACTTTTCTCCTGGTGAATGACTATTGACAGCCAGCATCAGTTAAGCATTATCGCAGCAGCCATTGACCTCTCATAGAGACTGCACTTGGACACTCGGAGACTCACAGTCTAGGTGAGATGAGGACGACACAAAATACACATATCTACCAACATTTATAGACATGCAAGTGCATGCTAGCAAGCAGTCAAGTATGGAAAAAAACCCACTATAGAAACTCGAGAAGTACTAGTTTCAGTACATAGGCAGTGGTGTCTGACACCTGCTGTGCCTTCAATCAGTTCCATCTTCTTTCTTAAGAGGCTATTTTTGTATCTGTCATATCTGCAGTGGCACGGAGCTAAATGGCTTGAGGTGTGCCTTTTTGTTCTTGCAATTGCAGGAACTCCTATCATTATGTCAAGGCAAAGAGGTAAGCGCGGAAACTGCTCTGTTGTTGGCTGCAGTGAGCAGCACAAATCACTACATCAGTCCCCAGCCTCGGGCGACAGAAGAGCTGAGTAGAAAAAGTTTATTTTTGATGGCGAGGTCCCAGCTACAGTTAGCAAAAACCTGTACTCATGTTACAGTGTAGCCACACTGTGTTTGAACATGCTAGCAGCCTACATCATTACCATACAAGGCTGGCTATAAAATATTTCCTGAAAAAGGTTTTAATACCAAATTTCTGTGTTTTTATTGAATTTTTATTGGAGTTTTATATGAATTACATTCATCAACCCACTTAAACGACTAGAGAATAAAATGAGAGATTTGGCATAGACATATCTGCACTTCCTTGCTGCTGATTTTAGAGACACTCCCGTGCTGAAGGCGATTTTCCCCTGTGCTGCATGTAGCTGTTACAGTTAATTTCCACTCAGGTATTCAGAAGTTGGTAAAGTTAGCAAGCTACAAAAGGATAGTGAGTCTTAAACTCTCTCTACCATGCCCCCAGAAGCCATCAAAGGGTCAACCACAAATCCAAAAACATTTTTTTAGCAGTAAAGTAGGATACAAGTTGAATTCTAGTAAAATAGTTAACTATTTTACTAGAATTCAACTTGTATGACAGGTCTGTCATATACACAATTGTGTATATGACAGACCTGTCTGGTTTGATTTGCGCCTTTGAAGCCATTGCTCGCAAACACACAGCAGAAATAGCACAGTCCAGGTTCATAGCATTTTCTCCCAGACTGCTTTTATATCGTCTTTTATACACCTCCCTTTCATTCAACATGTGTGTGAAAACCTGAAGGTCTGATAGATAAATGTAAACGTAAAACCTTGCCAAAGTAATATATCTGTTCAGTGTAGGAACTGCATTTGTTTCATAAAGTCTAAACACTATCCTCCCTTCTCTTCTTTTAAAGGTCCAGTCTACCAAGTGGTGTCATCCAAAAACATCAATACTAAGGCTGCACGATTTTGCATAAAATGAGAATCACGATTCTCTCACGATTTTCTTTTCCAGTATAAATATTTATTGCACTTATTAACTGCACATCAACTTCGTAACAGTTGAGACTGAACATAAAAA